AGGCTTGATCACGCGCGGAAGCGGGAGACCGACGCCGGGCACGTCGACGAGCGGCGGCAGGTGGCGGTCGCCGCTGTGCAGCACGCGCGGAGGCGAGAGAGCAGTGCTGGCGAAATGAAGGCTGAGCATGTGAATCCCCAGGGCCTCCAGGGCTCGCACCTCAACCTCTCACAGACCAGAACCCCCGCGCACAGCGCCAGTTGGTTGGTTGCTGGCAGTACCCCAGCAACGGGGGGTGAGAGCTGTTGGTTGCTGGTGGCTTGGTGCTCTGTTCACAGCCCAGTGCGGGTGAACTTTCTTTTCTATACCGCTAGGATTGAGAGCAGCCTCGCTCTCAATCCTAGAAGTCGAAGGATTGTGAGCAGCACTCCTCTCAATCGGAGCATCTCTGTGCGACTGTGAGCACCCACGCTCGCAATCCTACATCTTCTAGGACTAAGAGCAGCTCCGCTCCCAAGGAAGGTGACTGGTGACTCCTACGACTACTACCAGCGCGCTCGCAATCCGAACAAAGTCTAGGATTGCGAGCAGCTTTGCTCACAATCCGAGCAACATGCCTCCGATTGCGAGCAGTAGCGCTCGCAATCCTACATCTTGTAGGACTATGAGCGGCGGCGCTCACAATCGTACCCAAGATCCAAGGATTGCTAGCGGTGCACAGAGGGCGCTCCCAATCGCTCCAGCCGCGAGCGCTTGTGAGTGAGCGCGCCGGGAGGGTCTCCTCACAATCCAAACAGTGATCGCACCGATTGCGAGGGGACCCGCTCGCAATCCTAGAAGTCGTAGGACTGTGGGCGGTGTCGCTCGCAATCGGCGAAAGTTCTAGGATTGCGAGCGCTCCTGCTCGCAACCGGAGGCATGTTGCTAGGATTGTGAGCCAAGCTGCTCGCAATCCTAGACTTTGCTCGGATTGTGAGCGCGCTGGTAGTAGTCGTAGGCGTCACCAGTCACCTTGGGAGCGGAGCTGCTCTTAGTCCTAGAAGACGTAGGATTGCGAGCGTAAGTGCTCACAGTCGCACAGAGATGCTACGATTGCGAGGAGTGCTGCTCACAATCCTTCGACTTCTAGGATTGAGAGCGAGGCTGCTCTCAATCCTTAGCGGTCTAGAATAGAAGGTTCACCGGGAGTTCGTCTGTTCTTCACCTTTCTACCTACCTACCTACCGGGGAGACGAATCTAATCTAGGGGAAGAGGGGCTGCTTGCTTCTTAAAATGAACTCGGGGGCACGGGACGCGCAACAAACGGGGCATGCTTACTCCGGTACTGAATGAATGAATGAAAAAGAGAGGAGGACCAGTCAGTTAGTGTGTTCACAAACATCGTGTGCCTCCGACAACTTGGGCAGACCTTAATCAGCGACAGTATATGCCGCATTGCGATTGCTCCCGGCGTCGCGGTGCTTGTCGCCGACTCCGGTCGGCTATCACTGCTCTGTCTGTACTCTCTCTGTAGCGAACGAAGCGGAGCCGAGGTGAGTAGATGCACTAAGGCTAAGGGTCGATAATCGTGTCGTCGTCGATATACAACATAAAAGAGGACCCACTCGAAGCGGCCACACAACGCATCGCCGAGACAAAGCAGAGGCGCCAGACCTGTATCCGGAATGTCAGTCCTGTACCCCAGCGCTTCATGTCTGCTGGAGCGCCCTCATCTTCCCAGTTGGTGACAATCAGTCGCGGCAAAGCTTGCAGCCACCCCTTTAGGCTCAACTCCACCATCCAACGCCGCTGTGCCATAGTTGAGAGTGCCACAGCCAACAAGCAATGCTCTTGCCTCGGCTCAGGCTCTACCACAGTGCATTGTGCACCAAACACAAGCTGCGGGTCAATGCACAATGGGCTGGTTGTGACTCTTAGAGTTGACTTAGTGCCTCCCACACCGTGTGGAACGGGCTAGCTCAAGGTTGCCTTAGATTGTCAATGGAGAATGGCCGCGTTCTCGCCCCTTTCCTGTACGCGTGGGTCTCAGAGGACGAATGCGCACCGGATCTTTGAGGACTTCAAAGTCGGCCGCGCCCCACGGCTATCCCGCCGGCTCTCGAGTGTCGCAGCGCGACGCGCTTCACCCCTCGACTCCGCGCTGCGAGTCGATCTGGAGACGACGCTCGGCCACCGCCAACTCCACCCTGACGTGACGCACATGCGCCGCGTGTCCCCCCTGAGGGTGTCCTTGTATAGTATAGTTGGTTGCGAGTTAAAAAAAGCCCGTTCCGCACCCGCACCCAGCACCAGTACACATGCCGTTCTGGCGCCCCTCGGCTGGCCAGAGGACGACTCACAATGCAAATTCGGAAAGACATCACGAGGGGCCGTATAAACGGTGCCGCAGCGGCCCGGGACACTAACAGTGAGTTGCTGCCACTCGCCCGGCCTCCTCCCCCTCGGGGTCGCCCGGAAAGTGGGCTTGCGCACCGGCGCCCCCCCCAGCACGCCGACCCGAGGTGTACCCTCCGGCCACCTGGGAGGGGAGCGGAGTCCGATTTTGGCCCATTGGCTTCATCATGATGGATACGGAGGTGGCCAGCCCTTGGTTGTGCACCTGCGGCGCGAATAGGAGGTGATCTCGGCGGACGACGGCCATGCCGAGAGCGGGTGCAGCGCGGAAGAGGGTGCGCAGCGCGTCGCGGCCGCGCGCATGGGAGCCGGGGGGATGGCCGGAGGGGGCGGGACGCCTGCATGTCCTCGAAGCTCCCAGCCGCATACGCAAGCCGAGCCGCGAACGGCGGGGAGGGAGTTTTGGAGGGTCAGCCAAGGACGCGCATGGCGAGTGACAAACTAACGCAACCTCCCCTGTACCTGGTTTCTCATCGTGCATGCGACTGCGAGCGCGCGCTTGCCAGTTCATGATGCCATCCTCGAAAGCAGATCTGTTGCTGCTGCCGGCGAACATGGCTTCTCGCAGCTGTGCAAGCGCCGGCCCCACCACCTCGTGTGTGTGGAGAAGTTTACCTACTTTTCTCTTTACGCGTTACCTTTTAGCCCTCTTGCACGGCAACCGCAAGACCCGGACTGCCTACACCCCCTCGCCGTCCGAGCTCCCCTCCTGCTCCTCCGCCACGGCAGCAGGGAGCACCGCGGCGGGCGCAGCAGCCGCTGGCGAGGTGGGCGTGTCGGGTGCAGACGTCGAAGCGGCCAATGCGGCGGCGGACGCGGCGGCGGGCGCGGCGGCGGGCGCGGCGGCCTTGACGGGCAGCGACGCCTCCGAGCCCCAGCTCGAGAGCTGCGTCTTGTGGAGCGACACCATCGACGAGGAGCGCGAGGAGCCGCCGCCAGCCGTGCTGGCGCGACCCCACACGTCGCGCCTAAGTGGGGCACCCCGCGCCAAGTCACAAGCGCGGTCGGACCTGGAATCGGCCGCCCGACGCGGCTCGCCGCGGGATCGGCGTCGTCGCGCCCGACGGAAAGGGCGTCTCGATCGGCGCCAGGCCGGGGAAGCCGTACGAGGGCCTCGCGCTGCCTGCCGAGTGGCGCGCCGCCGCAGAGGTGGACGGCGGCGGCGCGCGATTCACGCCGAGCCGAT